GCGAGAAAAAAGTAAGAACACTTGCTGCCGTTATTACAAGTCAGATTATGTGCATTTTATGAAGCTATTGTAATTGTTGTGTTTTTCCATTATAGACATTTGAAAACAACAGCAGAATCCCCGTAGGTATAAACGTGGTTTGAGGGCTGTCTCTCTCTGCAGAGCTGCTTTGCTGAGTTATGTACTGTGGGACAAGTTATAAAGACTGCCTTCTTTATCCATCACCTTGAACTTCTGAGGCACTAAAGGGGATATGGGTGGAATCCCATGTAATCTCACAGCCTCCCTGGGGGGCACAAAGTGGGATTTGTGTTTCTTTATGGGCAGAGGGTGCCACGCTACAAATCCGGCATGTTTAAATGAATGGGATTTTTACCTTGCAAGTTTAAATCCAGTCTCTCTTTGTAGATGTTCTAGAAGTTTGATGGGGCATTATCAGTCTGTTAAATGACTCAAGACAGAAACAAATAGGCAGTTGTTGTATTCTGTTGTCAGTACTAGTTAGTGATGATGTACTGCTGGTTTACATCACTGGAACTGAAACCAGTAACCAGGTGCATTCCAGGTTTCATTTTTCTCTTATTCCTTAATTATTTAATCCGATCAATGAGCTTTTATTTAGGGCAGTTTAGTTCTGGAGTACATTTTTATGGCAGCTGTCTATAGAATCGAGGCACTGAGTTTCTGAACCTGCTTGTTCGTCATCACTGAGGAGGCCAGATCTGTGGAGTCTTGCTGTGAGCGAAGCTGACATGCTGTTCCACGCCGATAGACTTTCTTCCCTCTTACCTGCGATCGTCATCATCCCAGCCACGGGACATGTCTGTGGCTCCTTATGTTCAGTGTGAAATGAGGCCACATCCGTGCAGAATTCATTGTGGGGTCGTGTGCCAGAAGCATGACGCGACATTTATGGCGACAATGATGTGCTGCTGATGTTGAAATGTTGGTTAAACTTCTGAAATATTTGGTCCCGTTTTTGTCACTTTCTAACAGTTTTTCCTGGTCAGGGTTGGTGCCCTGGAGCCCAACCCAGGCAGCGTAGGTGACAAGGACGAGTTGCATCTGCTGTGGGATCCCAGTCCATCTTTTACAAACAGTACTGTACAGGAGCCTTATGCAGTCAAAGATTTGTTTAAACCTATTTATCCGGGCAGCAAGTGTGTATTTGTTCAGCAAAAAATGTTGTATTATTAGAACATATACAAATAAACAGTAGTAATACAAAAAATATAACAATTTCTTTTATTGTCCTAGATGCTCTTATCTTGTTGGCTTGCCGATTATAACTTTGGCTGCCAAACCTATCATTACATTTATTTGTTAAATTTCACCAATAGCAATTAATTCATTGATCACTGATTCAGTTAATTCACTTCATGAGGTATCGATTAGGCCAAACAAGCTGTACAAGTGGGTGAGTTCAACAGATAGATGGATTTATTGAATGGTAGCTGCAAGTACTGGGGTGACTCGAGGACAAGTTTCGAAATGACCAACCCGAAACACTTCAGACATCGTTTTGTACCAAAGTAAGCGTGATTTAAACGTGCTTTCGCTTGCCTGCCTGAGACTGAGTACTGTAAATGAACACACTACGGCAGATTTTGGGAGGAAAACAGAGGAAACTGGCCAGCATGGGGAGTTTTCCACACACAGAGTGAAGGGGGTCTTTGAACCGCAAATCCTGCAGGTGTGAGGTCACTGTCCCACCCCCAGGCATATTTAGTCAAATTAGTCTGCTGCTGCTGATTCAGAGCAAATGAGTCAGTGCTACTGCAGGATTCTGTTTGAAGCATAATGCTTCTTTAGTAAATGTGCAGCCCATGAGCATTTTGCAGAAGGTTATTCACAGTGCTGGCCCACTTAAAAATGTGTGCTATGATAGTTTCCCAACAAGCTGCAGATTTCCACATTAGTGTCATGTTAATAAAAATCATATTGGCCAGAATACTTAGGTAGTCAACATTATGTATATTTTCAACACAATTCCATTTTACTCCTTTTTTACCCATTTAAGTCTATCCATTTGAGATGATTTTGTTTGTTTGTATTGGGCTGCAATCAGTGCCGAACCTTGTGAAGTAGTGGAAGTCGTTACAGGTACATGTCTTTGCTTCTCTCATGAAATATTTGCAAGAATATATAAGAAGAATGTTACAATCATACTTTCATGTTACTGTGGGTCCTTTATTACAGTAGGTTATGAAAAACACTCTCCTGTATGGTGTCTTGTGACCAACACCTATTTCAATTTGTAGAAATATTTATTTTCATTTAAATGTGTTCAGTGGGTCCTACTACCCCTCACCAGCGGAGATGGTCTTCAGGGGTCTTCAGCATTAATAGGTTGCTGTCCCTGCAGTGTTTTTTTTAACCTCTGGGGGCAGGTAATTGCACCTTTTAATGGCCACTTTGGGTCAGTGCTTACAGACCGTTAAGGTCTCAGTGCTCAGTCTTATGCGTAAAAACAAGGCACCTCTGACTAGCCAGTCGGTGGTGGTCTCGCTCTCTGCTATGGGCTTCTGGGATGACAACAATCAAACAGGCAACAAATATCAAACTTCACGTTGCTTCGGACCTGTAGCCACAACGTTCTTCTTTGAATAGCAGCGTGAGACTGGTAACCATAGGTGAAAGACAGAATTTTCTTGATCTAGCGAATATCCAGGCACCAAGCTGCATGAAGGCCATCTTTGAAGCCCCTCTTGGCTGAGTCCCTGGTGAGGGGAACTAAAAAGAAACTAAGTGAATAAAGAGCTGAAACCCAGGGGTAGAGAAGACAGAAAGAGAAAGTTCCCGTCTCATTTGCCGGAGGGCCATCACTAGGCTATGATAGTGAGGTGGAGACTGAGTTGTAGCAAACGACGGCATTTCATAATGCGAGCGTGTGCTGACAGGTGAGCGAACGTCGGGTTTGGTCTGTAAGCACATGTGGCGCCGTGCTCTGGGTGACCAAAAGCCAGCTAACCGCACGTGGTAGCGTCGGTCTGCATGGATGTGAAACCATATCATCTCCGGCTTTGAGAAGCCGTTTTAAAATTTGTTAGTTGAACCTCTCGCGTGGTTTTATCGAGATGAGGGATTTGTCCAGCTCATGAAAGGAGGAAGTGGCCGTCCAAGCTGAGGGTTTGAGCAGTGGTGGGGATTGATGCATCCCAGGAACTGTGTCCTTTCTCTTTGTGGTCTAACCCCTGTCTGTGGTCACATGTCACACGATGGACTGAATCGCCGGAGCGCCCTAGCTGACTCTCTACTCCATTGTAATCGCCGACACGTCTATGGCTCTACTGTTGACATTCTTCATAGCCCACAAGAATCTTATTCATCCCGTCTATCTACCTTCATCTCTTCTGGTAAAAGAAGATCTTTCATATGCTGACTCTGTATGATTGAGCAGATCGATGCGTAATCCACTCTGAGTGGCCCCGCATCGTAACGATTACGTGCCTCTCGGCTGGCGTCGGCACGATGAAAAGCCGGGCAGTTTCTAAATGCCAGCTCTGCGTTTTCTTGGCCCGCCGTGCGGTACGGGTGAGATCGCGGGCCTCCGTTGGCCCTCCAGCTCCTCGGCCCCATCCTGCCCCGTGGCACCCGCGCGGTTCTTCCGTAGTCGCCAGCCGCATAAGCCAACAGCCTGCTGCTGTGCTCCTCTCTGCCACCTTCCATACCCCGGTGATTTGTATTCCGCAGGCATGCTTTAATGTATTATTATTGTAATCGGCGTCTCCCATTTGCCTTATCTGAGGGCAGTGTGGCATTCGACCAAAGTCACGCTGTGGCATATGAATCAGCTGTGCATATGCGTGTCACAGCAGTCTTGCATGTGTCTTTATATTATACAGTGGGCGCTGCTTTATTTTTTCAACTAGTCTTTTTTAATACGATCATCCTTTATACTGAGTTAATCATGCATCTTCCTATTAGACCAAAACTGCCAACTGCTCGAAATAAGCCCTTCCTTTCTCCCTTCTCCTCCCTCTCTCTCTCTCTCTCGCTCTCTCTGTTCCCTCGCTGACTGGGGTGCACCCATTTCTGCTTTCATCCCTGCCATCCCTCTAATCCCTCTTCCTTTCCCCTTGTTCTGCTTGCACCTTCTGCAGGCCCCACGGGTGCCGACTTTCCAGTCTGTGGCGTGTCGCCTATATTTGTCCCTCCGTGTGCCTCGGCCGATGTGCGCGTCGCCTCTCACCGAGCGGCTAGATTAGGTTTCCCCGCGCCGGCCGGAGGGCTCTGCCCAGCCGCTCAGAGGAAGATCTTTACCTTGGTTCTGAGTCTCTCAGCCGCCCTGGCCTCATGGAAGTACCCCCACCAAGGGAGAACTCTGTCGCAAGAAGAGACGTCTCATTCCCTGGTTTTACTCTGGGACATTTCGTTGAAAAGAAGCAGCAGTAGGGAGACGATATTCAATGTTTGGCAAAAAAAAAAAAAAGTACATTTCTTTTGTTAGTTTTCTGTATGCAGCAGGAAAGTTGTTCGGGCCGTCAGGAAAGTAACTGATTTATGTTCAGACCTCTGTAAAGACGGCCAACACAAGCTCACTGAGGTTCAGGTGGAGCTGAGGCCTGGTTTCATGCCCCCCTCCTATCTCTGCATCGCAGGTCCAGCTTCCTTGGCAGATTTCACCCATTTTTTTTTGCCAAATGTAGCATTAGCTTTCGCTAATTTCTGTAGGCTAAAGCTTTCTTGAGAAAATATATTTAATAATGACCTGTAATCATAAAAAGAATTAATATGCCAATTTGTATTTATTTTTTGTACGGTAATAACTCCTATCGCTTGTATCAGGAAATATTTTTATGTCATGAGAGAGGTTCCACTGAATGGATACCATTTAATCTGATAGCGTGTGCAGTCTACTAATTACATTATTCTACCAAATATACTGTCCACTTTTTTTTTGTTATGTATTGTGAATTAACCTTTGAATATTTTAACATCATAGTCCTCGCGCTGTTTGAGTAGGAGGTGAGTGAGTTTGAGTAGCAGGTATAGATGCTGTGTTGCCTTTGGATCCCTTGCCGTGAAGGAAGTCGGTCCGTACCAGCTGTGCCCCTCCTGTACCATGTGTCCTCCAGTCGCTGTATTCCTGAGGGGTCTTAAAATAGAGAGCCCTCTGGAAATAGCCACTTCCCCGGTACACTGACACGCTGATGGATAGGGACGGCGTGCCCACGTGTCCCGTCAGACGCCTCTGGAGCAGAACCGCAGCGCCCGACCCGGGACCGGGCTGCTGCATGTGCGTTGGCGACACGGTCGACCGCCGTGATTGAGCGGGACTCGCGATGGGTGCCAACGCCTCGCAGAAGCACATCTTGCTGGAGATGTTATAACGGAGTATATTTAATCAAACTTAGGGGCTTGTGGTAAGTCAAAATAATGTTTGACTTTTGGGTATTTTTGCCAATGGATATTGTTGTCCTATTGGGAATTAGCTGCTTGTCAAAAGAGGATATTAAAGTACATTTCTTTGCTTCTCCCATGAAATATTTGCAAGTATAGAACAATGTTACAATCATTCTCTTATGTTACTGTGAGTTGTTTGGGTCTAATAACAATGATATAAAATACATAATTAAAATGTATCTGTTATGTTTGGGATCTGTTCTATGTTCAGTGGTCATTGTTGCTGAAGGGTAGGTTATCTGTGATAATTTAGTATTGAATATTTAACGTTACATTTGGGACAGATTGTAGTTATTACGACAAAAGCAAGATGTTGTCCATGGACTGTTAGGCAAACCTTGTAGTCAAATATAGACGAATGTTGTCATCGTAGTGTCATTTGAAGAGAGCAGGGCTGTTTTCAAATATCAGAGTTACTCTTCCTGTCAGTGTTGATGCTGAAGTGGTCTCTGCTGTTTCTTTTTGTTCCCCTTGTTCATCCTGTTTGTCAGCTCAATTTTAAGTATTGACACCCTCTCAGGCTTGTGTTTACCTGCCTCGTGTTTTTGGGCTTGGACGCTCGTGTGTTTCTCGCAGCCTTATTGACGCCACCGTGCCCAGCTTGGCATTTTTTTTCCCCCCCTGTCAATGAGTGTGCAAGGTGACATCACGTGCTCTTACTCACAATGAGGCGTTGTGGACTGGCCGGGCTCCCACGGGACCGCCATTGTCGCGATGGCCCCGTGTTGGCGTGGGGGTGCTGTGCCAGCTGGGCCTGTCCCCTGGGCTTTCTATAAACCCTTTTTCTGATACGCTGAATGACTCCTCTGTGCTTCCCATTGGCTGAGTCGGTGACCTGGGCAGTCTGACAAGCTCGTGGCTATTCCCTAACAAATCGTTTTTGCTGACTTAATCGACTTTTTGTCTTTCTCAAAAAGGCGTAATGCCGCGTTGATTACAAAATAACAAAATGGCCTTTCGTCGTGTAATGGCATTAGAATGCTTTTAAATTAAACATTTAAATTAAATGTAAATTTTATGATCTCTCTCTCATGTTCTTCCAAGTTGGTCAGAATGTCCCAGCTTCCATTTGTAAGGAGACCAAGGCAGTTTGTGAGTTTTAACAGACTTTGATAGCTTATCAGCAGGTAAGCAGAGTAGTTAAGGCCTTCTAACTAAAAGCATGCTGGTCCTCAGACTTGCTGTGATGCCCTTGGAAAAAGGTATTTATCATTTAGGTATATTAAGGTGCTTAATATCTGTCTGTATAAATGAATCAAATTATATCTTTAAAGACAAAGAATTGATAGTGGTCATGTATAATGCATTATAGATACATTCATAATACATAATAATGCATTCATATTATAAACATGGCTCTATTTATAAAAAGGCATAACACATTATAGTCATGTTTATTAGGCATTATGAATGCTCTATGAAGCTCTCATCCACAATGCACTATAGATACCTTCATAATGCATTATAATGATCAGTGTAAGCTGTTATAATGAATTATGAAGGTATTTATAATGTCCTGTATGTCTGGCATTTTTTTAGTGCGGCTGTTTGAAATTATGACTGTGGTGTTCACAGTATCAACCTGGATGTATCTGTAATAGTCTGTGTCTGTCAGTCAGTCCCTTCATGGCGGCCATTGTTCTTGAAGGATAGGCTTTTATGGTCGGTTCTGAAACAGATCTGGTAATCGCACTTGGTGTGAAGAGCTTGTAGCCAGTATGGAAGGAATCGCATCTGCCTTTGGACCCTGGAGATGTATTTTTCCACAGCACAGACTTGAGCGTAGGATGGCTTGGAGCGTATGAGAGAAAAAAATACACTGGACAACAAAGCCTAAATGGAGCCCTAGAGATGGAGGGGAATCTTCTTGACTGAACATCGGTATTGTGGTCGGCTGCAGAATCTGATGGGGAGGCGTTTGTGATTCTGGAGGAGAGCGACTTGAACACTGATAAGCAGCAGGTCTGAAGGTCTCGTCAGACGGTTTGGGGGGCGAAAGGGTCCAGCGAGGCCAGCGTCACTCGGCGGCACAGAACATGTGCAATCGCTGCCCCGTGACGATGCCCAGGTGCTGCTGCTGTCCTTGCAGGTTGTCTGGATGGTCCTTATCAGCCGCATGCACCTGGGCAACTCGGTTGAGTGGCTTCCGCAAGCCTTTCTCCATCTGCACTACGGATACAGAAATAATGGTCTGTCTCTAAGATATAGGGTCCTTGACAGACCTCTCCCTGACTCGTTAATCAGCAGCTATTTTTAGAATTTTTATATAGGCGCTGTGCCTTTTGCTTGGGTGTATGAGTGTATAAATAAAAATGCATTTTGATATAAATAACACAGGAAGGAACTGGTGCACTTGAGTTGTTTGTAATCAGCTACACTAATATATAATCTGACTGGTTGCCAATGTCTCTGTTGTCATATAAACATACCAGAGAATGAACATAACTCTACAAATTTGGGGAAGGAGGAGATTGCACTGTTTTCCTTTCACTTCTATGATGTTTTTCGAAGTGTCAGCTCTTGCAAGACTATTATTATTATTATTATTATTATTATTATTATTTTATTATTATTATTTAAAAGTTGGGTGTACCTGGAATCAAGAGTGAGCATAATTGCACTGAATCCTGAGATGAACTGCATCTGCGATTTCCTTCCGCTTGTCACACTTTGGTGGTTATCACAAGTTATAGCAGAACTCTTGTGCCCGCACGTGCGCCAGATTTCCCCCTGTTGCCACATGCTGATTACGTGGCTCGGATTGACCCCAGAAACAAATGGCAGTTTGGAAGAAGCTAAGCTGAGCTCTTTAGCTAAGAAACAACAGTACAGTCGGGTGATTTTTTTTTTTTTCTTTCAGTGCTTATTATTAACTCTTAACATGAGTCAAAGGATTCAAAAGTTTTATTGTCATTTCTACAAGTACTCTGAATTTAAGGTTTAAGCCAATATATCAATAAATAGCAAATAATAAATAACATAATTATTAAGGCAAATAATATATGTACAGCATACATGGAATATACATGCTAAATATTATATACATATAATATTCAAGAACATAGAATTAGGACAAGGTGCTGGGCCTTAAATGTCAGTGGTTAATAAATGACATTGATGTTTTTTCAGTGCATGTTCAGCATACTTATGGCTGATAGAAAGAAACTCTTCCTGAATCTTGAAGTGCAGTTCCTGATTTTCCTTTTGTGGGGGCCAGATACAGCTCCAGATCAGATACTGTGGATTACCACAGAAATTCAAGGGAAATTTCGAACCTGCAGCAGAGCGTTTCAGTCCAGTACCGATTTACACTGCTGAATGTTAACTGAAGATTTCTGGTTAAATAACTAGCTTGAGATGTGCACAGACGTTTGGTTTAAAGTTGCATTACTTAGCCTGATAGCAGAAAATTATGAAACTCCTACCTTACAAAGCTGCAGGTTGTGATTGTCAGCATTTCATTGCTTTTCCTGTTCCAGTTAGTCAGATGTTATATACTTAAAAATGGTCCCGTGAATTCTAATATCCCACTCCATGCTCATTAGTTCTTATTTTCATTCCAGTTTTAGAATAATTTTTGTGTTCAGTATGCGGCCCAGCTGTCTGTGTCCCTGCTCTGATGCCTCCGTAGAATAACCGTTACGTAATTAGCGCTGGCGTTTGTAACACTTTTTGTATAATTTATAATGGAGATTATAGAGATTTTTGTGTATTCCAGACCAGCTGTTAATTTTATATTGTGTGGAATAGCCGTTCCTGTTCAGTAATTTGGACTGACATATGTCTATGTAGTTCTGTAGTGCAGGAGGGCATGAACATTTTGATAATTGTATCAGCAAACTGTGCATCTGTATCTTGTGCTGATCACCTACCCGTTTGCACCATGCAGTAGGCTTGGCCAGTATTGTGGTAGTGTACAGAATACCGCGGCGTCTTGAAATTTAGCCATTTGGTGAAACTTAACCCCTCCCTCAGCAAATTGAATCATGAGGCACCACTGCCCCCTGACTGGGCAAATTTTACCAAAACAAGAGTGTTACTTTTGAAAATACCGTCAAAATACTGCATACCACGGTATAATAACGGTATGAAAAATGAGATACCAATTACCAAGCGAACCTCCAATGAGGACTCTCAATGTACCTCATATTTAGCTCCAAAAATTCTGTGTGCTGTAGATCTGTTTGCTTGCACTAAGAACGCCATTTTCACGATAGCTATATAGTCAGAGCAATTTAGTGAGTGAGCGATGAGTGGTGACTGTATATAATCTTCTGATACTCTTCATAACTCCACCTGTCTGTCTCTCCCCCCACTGCAAGGAAACTTCCCGTCATAGTTAGCTGATGACATATTTTACGGCGTAGCCTCAACGCAAACTGCAGTCCATCCTGTAGGGTGTAAACATGACAAGGTCTCCCAGATGAGCTGAGTTTGCAAATTATAGCTGTCATGTCCGTCACAGTTTCCTCTTGGAAAGTGAAGTAAACTCCTCTTCCCTCTGTTGGGGGGGGGGGGGAAGAAAAAATACAGACCTGCTATTTTATTCGCTTCTACACGTGAGATACTGATGTGAACTAACGCTTAAAAATTTACTCTTGTTGTAAGAGAGGGAATCGCCTAATCGGAAACCCCCCCCTGGGGCGTTATTGCTGCCAGCATGCTGCTGAGAAGCGGGCTTGGTCCCGGGCAGGATGTGCGTGTAGCTGGGGGTCACTTCCTGTTTTCTTTTTCCCTTTCATAATTGTGTTTCATCGCCTTGCATTATGGCCGGCTGTAATAAACGCGCTGCCAAAAATGGTAGGGTTGCTATGCACAGCCGGCCGTCACGCGGTGCGCTCCAGTGATAAACGTCCTTAAGTGTTTGTCGTAGTGCAGTTTTACCGAAGGCTGGCTCCAGTTTTATTTATGCGAGATCTGTTAATGCAGCTAAAAAGAGGAGGATTTCGCAAGCCGGCTTTTCTGTTGTGCTCATGATGCCTGACATTAAAGGATCCTCTTTTTAGCTCTGTACGCAAATAGAATTTCCCACTGTAAGAGGAAAGCGGGGGAATGGCCATTATTACAAAAGGAACTGCAAACGTGAGCCATTTCATGTTATTACTTTACTCGTTTGAAAGTGTTATTAACCTCTCAAGCCGGAAATCTAGGGCTGACATTGTTAGCCTAACAGCAGGGGGGGCCACACCGAAACAGAGGGGCTCGACGAGGATAAGAAAAACGATGATTAAGGCCGAAAGCGGAGCAAAGAGTGAGCAAGCGCCCGGAAGGTTCTGTGGTGGTGGTTGGGCCGCTTGGAGAAAAAGCGCATGCTAAGCAGTTTTATTATTACCGTGACGCGCTGTCCGTCTGTGGCCTCGCCTGCTCTGGGCTCTCCCCAAGTGGATAATCGTGTGGATGATGGATGGCTGGATGAATAATGACTGATAATTAACCGCTTTCAAATGTATCGATTTGTAACGGAAAAGGGTGACGGCCTGCCCTCATGTTGCACCGTGCACCATTTCACCGAATGGCATTTGACCCCAGAAGGGAATGAGCTTTCGGATGGATGTTGTTTCTATTAGGAATGATGGCCTTGTACCAGACACATGTTCAGGTTTGCATTAGTAGCAGTGTGTGAGTTTCACCGGGCGTTGAAGGAGTTACCCTGAGTGGTGCCTCACTGGAGCCTACTGCCCCTTCTGGCCAGCTATGCGGAACTATCCCACCGATTTTAAATGTAAAGGCAAATATCCTCAAAGCCTTAGATGGCCGTTTCTCACCATGCCCCTGCCCCCCTTCTGGCCTTCTGGCCAGCTATGTGGAACTATCCCACCGATTTTAAATGTAAAGGCAAATATCCTCAAAGCCTTAGATGGCCGTTTCTCACTATGCCCCTCCCCCCCCCATATAGATTTTGCCGTGTTTAATTAAGAAATGCGAGCCTCTCTGTTTTGTCTGGTCAGGTGTTCCTGTCCACGTTCTCAGCATAATTCGCTGATTGAATTGCGCCCATTTCTCTGGGCTGTTTCTGTTTATCTGACATGCAAATAACTGATGATTCCTGCTGTGTCTTTATATGGTAGCAAACCTATAGAATAGATCTCTGTAGCAAGCAAGCGGCTTGTTGTAATACTTGTTTATGAATGAAACGTTGCTACAGTTGCCCGCACCGAGTCGATCTCGCCCCTTAAGTATCCTTCTCCCTCGCTCTCTTACTCCACTCTTCCCAGCCTTCGCCTCACATACCCATTTCTTTCTCGCTCTCTCTGCCCCCTGCAGTGGCGGGCAGGCAAGCGGCATGACTGAGGAGAAATGCCCTCAGCTGGTGGACTACTTCGTGGTGGCTGGGCTGGCGGGGGGCTCGGCCCCCCTGGACGAAGAGGGGCAGCAGCGAGGTGGACGCATGGTGGAGCCGGTGACGGACCTGGCGGTGATCGCCAGAGGGTTGGGCGAGGAGGTTCCCGAGGGCTTCACCTGCATCGAGAAGACCCAGGGGGGCCACCCCGCCGAGCTGAGCGCCGGCCTCATCAACAATCCCCACATGTACCTCTGCTACCGCAGGGGCCATGACAAGCCCCCCATCCTCGACCTCGGGTGGGTGGAGGGCGACCGTACAGCCCCTCGTCTTTTTGCATCAAAGGTGCCAACGCCACCATTATAATTTCAAGTATGCTTGAAATTGATTGAGTGCACCGATATGGTCCCGCATTTCTTCAGATAGAATTAGGGCTGCCACTTCCAAAGTGGTGAATGAGTGACACAATCCCTTGTCCTCCACTACAGAAAATAGCTGACCTTCCAATGCAAAGACTTACATTATTTTAGTGGTTATGTTTTTAGTTTCGGTGCTACTGACTTTAAATATTGATGTTAAAGTTCAAATACCGGCCAAGATTGACACATGGTACCGATACCGATATCTTGATTTTTAACAAATATTGTACGATACTGATATGTTAACCGATGTATAGTGCATCTCTGTGTACTGGCACAGGTGGTAGCCATAATCCATGATATTTTTTTGGCTCTTTATGTTGCAGAACTCGTATCTTTATATGGTGTGTTGGTTGACTGGGAAGTTGCGCAAGCTCTAGTTAATTAGCAAACGCCGCGTTTCTTCACAGAGGAATAGATCTGCATATCAGTCTGAGAGCATTTACTTGCCTTAATTCACAGCAGTGACCTCATGCATAGTAAAAGGCTTGGGTTGCTTGTCAAAGTCCCTGTGGTGACGTCCTTCCCCAGGGTGCTGTACGAGGGAAAGGAGGCCGCCAAACCGGGCTGGCAAGTCCTGGAGACCACGCCCTACAGCCGCTCGGCCAGCGTGAGCTCGGGGGGGCCCACCACCCACCGCACCTTCCTGATGTACCGGCGGGCCCCCGACTCGCAGGCCCTCAACACGCTGGGGGTCACCGACATTGCCCTTTTCCTCCCCAGCAAGGGCGAGACCGTGCCCCACACCTTCTGCAGGGTGGACAAGAACCTCAACACCGGCATGGTGAGCTCTGAAAGGGTTGTGATTGATGCAGGAGTAACAGAGATGGAAATGACTCCTTGGCATATTTAGAGAAGAAGGAGCTGAGCGCCTGGAACCAACATGTGGTTCATGCAGCACTCAGTATAACTAATAGTAAAAGTGTATAAATAATTCAGTAGCATCAATTCAGTGATGCGGTTTTCAGCTGAGTTCTGGATTGTAGACAGTTTTACCCTCTGACTTCCCTTTGTAGTCCAAATGTAGTCATTTGTCAACTGTATTTTGGTATATTCAAAGGTGGAAATTTCAGTTCCAGAAAATAAAAATCCAGACCAGGATTTTGTTTCAACCAACCATTTGTGTATAAAGAATCATAGTCACAGGGTACCCAACTGGTTGGTTGAAACAAAACCTTGGTCTGGATTCTTACTTTCTGGACCAGAAATTTCCACCTCTGGGTATATAGGGTTTTTGTTTTTAGTGTTTTTTCCTGCAGTCTTGTGTGGAGTTATTGGGGTAACAGACATGAGATAGCGGTAAAGATTCTCAACCAACCTCAACTATATAACGGCGGTGTCCTGCATGGCTCTGGAAGGTGTTTAATGTTGAGTCTAGGAAAGCTTGAAGTTCTTTGACCTTGAATGAACGGCATCACCAGGCAACAGCTAACCCCGAGTAGAAGGTTAAGGAGACCCTGAACGCAGGGGAAGCACGCAGGAATGAGATGGGACACCAGGTGGTCAGCAGCATATTCACCATTGTTGCACATGTGCTTTGTCTGTAGTGGGGTCCAGCCTTGTACCTGTGCTATAAGAGAGCGATGACCAAAGCCAATGCCCTGGCCTACGAGGCAGGTGGGTCCTTCATCTATCAGCATATTATCCTTGTGCATTTCAGCAGGGACAGAGCCAGAGGGCACATTGTTGTCATTAATTATACTCCGGAGGCCCTGTTGGGTCGTTTTAATAGCCACCTTCACTGTAAGTCTTCACTTAGCCGCCCCCCCAGCATGTCTACTATTGCCAGTAAGATTAGATCCTTAGTACAAACTCTGCGATTCCTGAATTCAGTAATCATCTCTCTGCATGCCCCAATCGCAAAGGTCTGATTAGCCGCTACCCCGAAGCGGACCTGGACTCCTTTCCCCTGCCGGACAGCGTGCCCGTGTTTTGCCTCCCCATGGGTGTCACTGTGGAGAGCTGGCCCCTCAACACCAAGTACCAGCTTCCTGTCTTCTCTACCTTTGTCCTCACCAGTGCCTGTGGAGACAAGGTACCACTGGAGCTTCCTAGAGCGTCGTCTGCTAGATGATAAGCCTCTTGCATCAGTTTGAGGGTTTAGCGCATATCTCTGTTTGGGTCACCTCACTTTGTTTCGTTTGTGGGAAAGGTAAACCTTTTAGGGAAGTAAGGCCATATGCGGCTTCTGTCCTTCTACTTCAGGAATATACCTGACAGCAATATTAAGGCAGGCAATGTTTTCAGGGCCGGCCTGCCTGACCTTTGACCTCCTGCTCAGGTGTACGGGGCCGCCATACAGTTCTACGAGGCATTCCCGCGCGAGGGCCTCTCCGAGAGGCAGAGCGTGCGCCTGGGCCTGGTGAGCGTGGTGGACCGGCGGCCCATCACCAACCGCTCGCTTCAGGTGAAGAAGAGCATCTGCGTGCTTTCCCACTGGCCATTCTTCACCGTCTTCCAGAAGTTCCTCACCTTCATCTACCGCTACTCCATCTCTGGCCCCCACGTGCTGCCCCTGGAGAAGTGAGTGACCAGACCGACGCAGACTTATGCTCGAGAAGTCGTCCCGTACCCCTGAATAACCCCTGTAGGCACGTGGTCCACTACTTACAATGTCAGTCCTGTCGACTTGTGGCAAGATCCTCTTTTTATGATGTAATAAGTGAAGGGCAGCAACCGGAAAGGCTGAACTCACAGAAGTAAGAATAAGAAAGATGGAACAGAAAGCCCATTGTGGGAAAGCACATAGTCATTGTGGGGGAAAAAAATGTATGTGCCCCATGTACACAATACAGAGAAGCTTGTGTTAGCTAGAATAACAGGTAAACAGTAACCTGCATAAACTAGACAGTTTCTGCTTCTGCATCATTACACGAAAGTCAGCACAATAACAGTACGTCTATTCAATCACCCAAATAGAAACTATACTCATTTGAATGTTTCTGTTTGTGTAAAAAGAAGGAGAAGAGCACTTATGTTATATGTCTCATGAACTGCCGTGGTGTGAATGTTGAACACGTCTGAAATGAGTTATTCTCCATGACCGTATGTTTGATGTCCTGTCAAGCAAACCCTAACATGTCTGCGTTTCACTTCTAGTAGGCTTATAATTGTAAGAATCAGTTGACGTTCCTTTCACTTTATTTTTATATATACAGTCATGCATTGCTTAGCGTTGGAGATACACTCTGGCAAACGCATTGTGTAGGTGATTTCATCAATATGCAAACATCATAGGGAGTACTTACCTACTATGTGTAACATGGCATGCTGTTTTAGAGTAAACTTTTTTTTTATACGTGGAAAGAGTGCACTCTAATGATAAAAAATCCAGTATAGTAAATGCATAAACCAGTAACATTTATCAGTATTAGGTTCTATGCATTATTGTATGTGCTACACTTTTATGCGACTGGCAGTAGGTTTTGTTTACAGCAGTATTACCACAAACACGTTTTGTGTTGCACTATGATGCTATGACGCCTTTCAGCTCTGTTATAATCTTAGGAACCACCATTATTTATGCAGTGCGTCATTCACCAAAATGTTGTTACGCAGTGCATGGCTCTATATTGTATCATTATAATTGGGATTATCATAGCTGGTATGCAAGTACGCACTTTTGGGATAATGATTAAAATGCATGGTAATTTCTTGTCATGACAGTGCAAATGCTTCATTTGCATTGTTGTGATAAGAAATTTCTGCACATTTTAACCTTTACGCCGCAACTGTGTTCTTGTGTACCAGCTATGACAATCCTCGCTTGTAGTTTCCCTTGCTTGTTCCCTATTGCATCCCTCATTTGCCGAATTGGTCCAGCTGCTCGACACGGCATTTGATCCTCACCCGCCATGGGTCCACACACACGTGTTTGCACCACAGCGCCTCCTCCAGGCTGAACGTACTGTATGTTGTCTTCGCAGGCACATCTCCAGCTTCATGCACAACGTCCCGTTCCCTTCGCCACAGCGCCCCCGGATTCTCGTCCAGGTAAGACGGCTGACCAATGAGCGGAGGCGAAGCAGCCCACCCCACAAATGCATATGTAAATAAATTCAGATGAATACACAGCTAACCTTTGAAAGTCTTTCTTCCAGTGCACTGCGGTACTATACTATCTCACCCCTCATGTTCAGTGATGAGTTCCCATGGACTTCATTTTTGCTTCTGTGTTGTGAATTATTTAAGGGTCCCGCTTCTTCCGCAGGTGTAGGTTTTGTTGCCCTGCCGACGGGGGGTAAGCAAGTGATGTCATTGGTCAGAAAGTGCGCATGCGACTTTTGGTAAATTGCCCTAAATGGCCAGACAATCAGTCTGACTGCAAATTCCCGCCTACAAATGGGTGATCATTTTACATGTAATCACCTGGAGACAGAATCAGTAGAGCAGGGGCGGCAGATCCGATCCACGGAGAGCCGCCGTGGGTGCCGGTTTTTGGGATGACCTCTCAGTCAGCCAATAGCTGTGGGTCCCCAGGACTGGACTGGGAACCGCTGCTTTATTACTGGCTGAATAAGAGGTCATCCCAAAAACCTGCACCGGCTCTCCATGGATCAGGTTCGCCAGCCCTGAGTTAGAGCATGGGGTGTTTGTTCAAGCCATCCGTGAGATCACAGCAGACTGGGCTGTTACATCAACAATATTTATATATGTTAGGGTCATTAGTCAGTATAAGCTATGGGTCCAGAATTAGAAGCAGAAACAGACGATGATGATGATACAGCTCCTTTTGGGACAGGTTACGGTGTTGAGGTCAGACACAAAGAGATTAAACTACACATACAAATGCTGCCCCTTTAAGCAAATGGTAAACCACATGAAAGTAGGGAATCCCGTCCAGAGGCACCACAGCTTACAGAGAGTGTGGCTCATAGACCTCAACTTCCCTCAAATCTCCCAGATGGCTTTCTCTAACTGGTACAAGCCAGTAAATGGAATGGAGGGACAGCTGGGTTATAGAAGTATAGTATAGTATAGTATAGTAGGGGCACCATAAAGGGGGGATATGACATGATATCATCGGACCCAAAATGTCTAGCAGTGCACCTATAGTCATAGCATGGCATAGGATTCAGGTGTCCCTGGTTCAGAGCCTCTGTCTCCAGCTGGCTACTTTTTGATTTGTGACTAATATATATCTTGTAATCAATATTAATCTTCATTTTATTTACAGCCGTTTATATAAGGATTATTTTCGTTCTTCGGAATTGACGTAACAGCACATTCATGCCTAATTAATGAAGAGCTGTTATGAAACAGAAGTATGTGATGAGTCCCTGGCAACTGGGGTGGGGAACCCTTGTTCAGAACACAGTGACCGATTTTAGGATTTAGATTTAGCTGGTGCTGATTGGTGGAAGGTGATCCAAAGATCAAAGCATGCCCTGCATTATTATTTGATCGGAAGCGCGTCTCTCTGTTTTGCTGGCTACTTTGTCTGTCTAGGAAGGTCTTGATTGAGTGTCTCGTTGCAGCTTTCCCCATACGACAACCTACTGCTCTGCCAGCCTGTCTCCTCCCCTTTACCACTCAGGTAAAGAGCATCTTCACACGTCCCATTTAACTGTCTCGCTTGTATTTCAGTGCCTTCACTTCAATCCAGTATGGGCCAGATAAGATGTTGGTTTGTGGCTCAGCCAGTTAGGTCTCTGTGCTTAGTGTGTGTATATATATATATTTATATATATATGTGTGTGTGTGTGTAGTGTGTTAATATATTGGACGTTTGCACGTATGTGTGTGTGTGTGTCTCTCGAAGAAGAACGGATGAGATATGTAGCAATGCAGCATTGTGATCTATCTGTACCTGTGAGCATTATTCTGTCATTGCGGCCAGAGCATAGACCCCCTTACTGCAGCTGCAGGATGCAGTGCAGGATGCAGTGTGGGCGGGCCCGGTGCCTGAGCTCTCCTCCAATGGCCTCCTCTCTGCCCGCAGTGGTGCCAGCTTCGTGAAGCTCCTCCAGAACCTGGGAGCGGAGAACGCCTGCACACTGCTGCTGGCCGTGCTGACGGAGCACAAGCTGCTGCTGCACTCGCTGCGGCCGGATGTGCTCACCTCCGTCAGCGAGGCCCTGCTCTCCGTGAGTCCCCGTGGAGCCTCCTGTAGGACAAGCACAGAGGTGGGTGTTTCGGGTCCAGAGAGTAAAAATCCAGACCAAGATTTTGTTTCAACCCACCAGCTGAGCACTCTGTACTGGTTGGTTGAAACAAAATCTTGGTCTGGACTTTTACTCCCTGGTCCTGAATTACCCACCTCTGGGCACGCGGGAGTGCCAGTCAGGCGAATGGCGCTCAGCCGCGGTTGAGTTGTCACGTGATTGGAAAAAGTCGTGTGTCATTCAAAAAGGGCTCAATAACACACGAGGTTAAACTGTTACATGTGCTACAGGATGATCAGCTGCCTGTTGAAATTTGACCGGGAGCCCAGTAGGCCATTAGTATTAAGATTAGGATTAACTTTATTGACCCCAGAAGGAAATTCTGGTACTATACTATACTCGGCAATACTCAAATTACATACCCAACCCAAATGTGGGATTTAAAAAGTAAGGAGGAAATTGACTTGTTGAGTTCAGGTTACCATGAAAATTTATTTAGCTGTAAACACAGGAAGTCTGTAAATTTATAGTTGAATCAACAAAAGTAGACCTGTTTGCTTAAAAGACAGCTGGTTTATAAATAGCGCTCGCTGGTACGGTGGTGCTGACTGCTGGTTTCACTACTTCCCCCTCGACGCAGATGACATTTCCTCTGCGCTGGCAGTGTCCCTACATCCCCCTGTGCCCGCTGAGGATGGCGGACGTGTTGTGTGCCCCCATGCCCTTCATCGTGGGCGTTCACTCCAGCTATTTTGACCTGTATGACCCCCCTCAGGACGTGATGTGTGTCGACCTGGACACCAACACCATTTTCCAGTGAGAGAACGCAGTGCTTCATCTACTCAGCTCTGGGATTATCTGTCGTTTTATCCGCCGGCCCCAGGTGCCGGGAAATGTGTACTCATTTTTTTTTTTCCTCTTCACCTCAGATGTGAGGATAAGAAGCCGCTGTCTTGGCGGTCGTTACCCAGAAAGCATTGCAAGACCCTCTTGACGACCCTCAGTAACCTGAATAAGACCCTGGAGAAGAGTGAGTTGGTGTGCTTTGTACATGGCTGGAGGGTGGTGTCTGTAGATGTTTGGGACAGTGAAGATTCCTTAGAATGTTTGTCATTAATACCCAACCCATTTGTGTATAATTGGTGTTCATCACGTTAAGATGGTGCTTATGGTCTGTTGTCCGTCCTTGGTGCTTTAGTAGGTTTATCCAGACTCCGAGTTTCTTCATTTTGATGTTGTTTATCTCCCCTTCTTCCCCGTCCCTGTCCTGCCTCCCTCAGTCTGCATCCCCGGTCAAGAGGACGCCACCTTGGAGTTCCTCCTCACCGACTATGACCTCATCTACGGCCGTCAGAAGCAGCTGGAGCTGGAGATACAGGAGGCCTTTCTGCGTTTCATGAGCTGCTTGCTGCGGGGATACCGGTCGTACCTGCTTCCCATCACACAGGCCCCCTCAGAGAAGACCACCAACTGCAGCTCCCTGTTCAACCTGCAGGGTATGTGTCTGTCTGTGCGTATCTGTGTTTGTGTGTGTGTGTTTGTGTGTGCGTCTTTGTGTGTGTGCAGCTATTCAGTGTTTTTTTTTTTTCTTGTTTAGAGACTTGCTTAAATCTTACATTGCTTCACAAAATATATTCTTCTGTCAGGGTTCCTAAAATCCCGGGACCGGACCCAACAGAAGTTCTACGTCCAGCTGACGCGCACCCAGATGTTCACGCACTTCATCGAGGAATGTTCCTTCGTGAGCGACAGGCACGCCTCGCTGGAGTTCTTCGACGAGTGCGTCCAAAAGGTCTGCCTTTGTGCGCCAAGGGAATCCCTGCACACACCGGTGCCCAGTCTGGCCTCCTTGGCACCTTTTGTTGAACATGAGTGTGTTATGCTGTCATTAGAGTGCTTTTGGTCATGGCTTTCTGGGGAGCTGCTAGGTAATCACAGAGTGCCGTGTCACTCGCTGCTCAGGTGGACGTGGAGAAGCCGGAAGAGGTGCGGCTGATAGACCTTGATGAGACGCACAGCGGGGAGCACACGGTCTTCATCATGCCCCCAGAGGAGCCGCAGGAGTCTGATGGATCTGAGTGCCCCGCCCCCTATAGGTGACTCATCTTCTTAACCTTCTCGCATGACCGAGTAGCTTCCCTCCACTCCCCCCCCCCGGACGCGCTGGCTTCCTGGACTGCGCAGAGTCCCTCTAACGCAGCGAAAAAAGACAAAATGTTGCTCATGGTGACACTGAATGAGACGCCTGAGGAGTTGGAAAGGAGCCGGAAGGAGATCCGAGACCCAGACAAAAAGAACATGATATAAACATCTTTGTATTCATTTGCTAAACACTCATTTCACGCTACACATCTGTACGAGCCGGCCGGATGAGCAGCATGATTTATAACCTAACCATTTATAGGTAGGGTGGCTGACATTTTTGGGGCTTTATAGCAAGCAGGCAGCTCGTTCTGCTAGCTCGCTAATAGGCAAAATTTTATATATTGGACGCTTGTTCTATATCCCGCTCAATTCACTAATAAGCTTCGTTATAACGCATTGGTTATTTCGTACAGTTTCTGCCTTTTCATTGATAAATTCGAAAGGCATCACTTTGGCTTGGGTTAAGTCACTGAGCCAAAACTCTTGGCCAATCAGAGTGGGTGAAGGTGCTCTGTCTCGTGGGAGCTGCTGACTTCCTTCAGGTGTTGGGACGCTTCCTATGACCTCGTGTTCTAAATCTCACCTGTCAAGCTTTTTAATCACATGGGAGGCTCCGTTCCCCTGATAGTCATTGCTACACGCTTGCATCACCCCAACACTAAGTGCAAAAGGTGGCAAGTGAGGGTTACTGTGGCCCCGGGCCCTGACTGCATCTTACTGTGGCCCTGACTGCATCTGTCTGCATCTTACTGTGGCCCCGGGCCCTGACTGTATCTTACTGTGGCCCTGACTGCATCTGTCTGCATCTTACTGTGGCCCCGGGCCCTGACTGCATCTTACTGTGGCCCTGACTGCATCTGTCTGCATCTGCGCAGCTACGAGACCTTCCCATCGCTGCACCCGGAGCTTTTCGACCGGCCGCAGGACCAGCTGCGTGCTCCGGCCAAGGGGAGCGCCCCCAGCAGCCCGGCCCCCCGGCGCACCAAGCAGGTAGGTGGTCTAATCTGCTGGGGGGGGTTGTAGGCTCACCTCAGAATGTCAGAAACACTGCAATCTTCTAGGACATAGGTGGCTGCATATTTACACACTGGGACTTGGGAAAGATGTTATCGTTTGAACGATAAAATTACAAATGTCATTGTTTTTCAGCCCACCCACTATTACACTAATCAGCCTAGTGAGGTTCCGCCATGTTGAACCCTGATGCCTTTATGAAGCTGTTAGTCACGTCTGGACACAGCTGGATAGAATCGGTACGGAGTACAGAGCTGGGGAGGCTAGATCAGCACTGGCTGTCCTACACAGGCCTGCGAGATGGAATGTGCCCCCCACCCACCCTTGCTCTGACGTGTCCTCACAGACGCGGGGGGTGGGGGTACAGTTTCATCCAGAACTGGAATGAGCTGAAATTTAGTGGGAACCAAATGGCTTTGGGAGGTTTTACAGTGTCACCATGGCGATGGCTTCTGAATCTGCTGCAGTTAAAATGCTATCGGTGGCAGGAGAATTTAAACCGTGTTTTAAATTGATAAATTTGATTTCTTGTGAAGTAGCTGAGTCTTTTTTTTTTTTAGGATTCTTAGTCTTATCTTTCTTGAATCCATTGAATGTTTATCTTAGTGTTTCCTCTTTTCATTTGAATACTGCTTTATATTCAGGCTTTTCCTCATTCAGTCAGATGCGTTTTATCACTTCAGTTCTGCTTCTCATACCTTTGTTTACTATGTCTGTAGCTCATTGTTCGAAGTCTCTCACACGTATCGCACATTCCTCCCTTACATGTTCCCCTGATAGCAGTTAGCATTTAGCACTTACACAGCTCCTCCCTTACATGTTCTCCTGTTAGCAGTTAGCAGTTAGCTCTTACACAGCTCCTCCCTTACATTTTTTCCATGTTAGTATCTGGCTGTTGCACAACTCCTTCATTTGCTCCTGACTCGCATGTGAACCTGCAGCCCACATCCTCCTTGTTTGTCCTTATGCTCTGCTGCATTTGGCCTCCCTTTTCCCTTCATTCCTACTGCACTGATCTGGAATAAAGACTGAGATATAAACCGAGATTTTGAAGAAGAAAAAAAAAAATCTGGCGCTATCACCTCACACCTCTGGAGACCTGGGTTGGTGCCCCATCCTGGGCAGTTCCTTGCCTCTTGTGATTGGCTCCCGACTCCTGGGACCCTTTGTAGGGCAAGCGGTGTAGAGCATGGATGAATGGATGGATGCATAAATACACTCATACATTGATAGTATATTGAAGCGTGTAACAGGCTAACAAGTGTATAAAGTTATTGGGGGAAACTAACTTGAATAGGGTAATTAATTACCCAGAACTAATTATTATGTAGGAGCACAATAACTATAATGGAAATTGTCCTGCAAACTGTGATGGTCTTTAGAGCAAGCCATGCAGAATTAATAGGTAACTTTAAATTTGGAAGATAAATTGCTTTTGACACAAAAAAAGAGGTTGCTCTTACTAGGACACGATTAAATCTAGATGATGTTCATGCTCGTGTGCATGACTTCGATGTAAATTAAGTTTGACATTTACTGACAATGCATTGTTTGTAAAGCTTTAGGAAATGGGAAATTTTTAAAGAGATTACCAGATATGCATTCGAGGGAATATTTTAGCAGGCTTGTCAGGTTTTGTTATTTAAATGCACCTATAATAAGAAATTCTACAGAATAATTTCATCAACTGGGCTTGAGAACATGGAATACATTGAAATCGTTACTGACAAAAATCTAATGCGTCAATGACGGATCTTGTAATTCTGAAACAATCACTCATATATTAAACTCCTATTTTGTTGTTTGATAACACTGGAGTCATCTGGAGTTTCCAGAACTTTTCTCCTCATTATGGTCCAAGCACATGTTCTTTGTGTGTTTGTTTGAGAAGCAAACAGCTGACTGTATTATAATTAGGGCTGCACATCTTCACCGGTCTCACGATTCGGTTTGATTACGATTATCATGTCAACGGTTCGATCAGATTCCACAATTCCCCTATATTAATGTACGTGAATGCTTTTTATCAAAGAATGCAATCGCTCTGATAAATATGAACTCCCTTTTCATTATTTACACATTTCTTTACCACACACCGATTGTGCCACTGCACGGGAGATATGAGCACAAGCATCCCAGAGATTGGTACTGGTACTCGACCAGGAAAGGTAAAAAGAAAAGAAAAAATACAGTGAAGGTTGCTATTAGGAAGTTCTTCTAAACTGTAGAACTTCAATTAAGCAACATTACATGGCTATCATCAGTTATATTTGGTCACTGCATCGATGCAGAATCCTCTGTCTGCATTGCACTGCATCTTAGAAACAATTAATTTCAACACCCCTGATTATAAGTAGCTGTTTAAAAGAGAAGCTGCAGAGGTTCACTCCCTCGGGGTGATACCATCATCTTCCATAGCCGTGCTAATGTTGTGATGGTCTGACTTTGTCCTACAGTGTCAGATTAGTCTGGTCATGTTGAAATGTTCACCCATCACACAGGAGATCAAGCTGGCCCAGAAGCGGGCCCAGAAGTACTCCTCAGTGCCAGATATGTGGTCCAAGTGTCTGCTGGGGCACTGCTATGGGCTGTGGTTCATCTACCTGCCCACCTTCGTGCGGGCGGAGAGCGCCAAGGTGCGAGCCCTGCACACGGCGTACGAAGTGCTGAAGCACATGGAGACCCGCAAGGTGGTGCTGCCAGATGAGGTGAGGGAGGAGCCCCATCCCTCTGCTTTCCTTGGATGACCTTCTTCTTCTGTGTGAGCTGCTGCCTTTGGTCATCAGGCGCTTTCACACCTCAGGAACTTTTTTCCAGAACCAGAACCTTTATCGGGAACCAGGGTCGTGTTCACATCACAGGATCTCAGCCCGATTGTAGTTCCCCTTACGCAGTTCCAGAACCCTTTTTTAGTACCTACTCCAGACGAAGTATTTTTTGTTCGAACACAAACTACTGGGGGGGGGGGGGCACTTATTACTAGGGCTGCCGCTAATGACTGTTTTTTCCTATGGATTAATCCTTATTCAGCGGAGATTCTAAGGTAACAGGCAGACAACTTTATGACTTTAATAATGAGTTTATTCAGCAGTTATAAGGACAAAAAAGCTCTCTGTACTAATGTTAATTTAATAGACATGAATAGACGACACAGTGGTTTTCTGGATCTGCAGAATAGCTCCTGTGCATTTTCCCTTTAGGTGTCTTGCATAGCGCTGGTACAGCCATAGTATGTCATCGAAAGTTTGCACGGTGTAAAAGCATTTGTTTGCTCCTACACTTATATATTGATATTAAAGGAAAACTATTTTTATTATGAAGTGAAGCATTTTTATAAACCATAGTAATTTCGTTAAAATATAAAAAGACTGATTTTAAATATTTATGGGGTCCTTTCTCAAGGACACAAGGGGGAAGCGTTCTGCCGACTCTGGGATTTTAGGCTGTAACCTTCTGATCAGAGTGCAGTGTCCTCACCCACTGAGCCGCACTCCACGCAGTGCCGCCACCCTCATAATGCAGTACTACTGCAGTGGACTGATGATTTGCTCCAGGTTTAGTGGTGTGTGTGAATTTGCCGTCAGGTTTGTTACCGGATTCTGATGCAGCTGTGTGGCCAGTATGGGCAGCCAGTGCTGGCAGTGCGGGTTCTGCTGGAGATGAAGAAAGCGGGAATCACACCAAACACCATCACCTACGGCTATTACAATAAAGTAAGTAACAGTACAGGGTCAGTCTGTTACACTTACCCCTCTATATCTGCATGCAGCTCTTATTCTCCTATTGATGTTCTGATCTTTGCCTCTAGGCTGTGCTAGAGAGCAAGTGGCCGTCCACCAATCAGGGCGGCCGCCTCCGCTGGACCAAACTGCGAAATGTGCTGATGGCTGTGGCACAGTTCAGGCAGCCAGTCAAGCGGCGGCAGAAGAGCGGGTCCGTTGGTTCCCACGCAGGTATCTGTCAGCTCAGCGTGGCCGTGGGTGTCTCTCTGCGGGTACTTGGCAAGTGATTAGCCGCCTTCGTGGGCCTAATTACACTGCCGACGGGCGACTCTGCCTCCCTCGTACGACGGCGCGAGACCTGCTGTTTGTGAGGAAAGCAGTCGGCTTGGCACAGCCACACGCTTGATTTTCGAAGCATCTGGTCCAGTTCGAGGACTCTGCAGGCAAATAAGCCTCTAAACCGAATGCTTTCCCAGATGGTCTACGGCAACACGTATGCAGTACCGCTCCACCCATTAGGTGACATAGACGGCACCCTATCTAGGGGCTGCTGATGTAGCAGGCCAGTTTCGCCTTGTCTCTACATGCTCCTCGTGTGGGGGGTGGGAATGGGCTGCAACCAGCACTGCATGTACAGTTTTAATTGCCATGCCAGACATATGATTGATTTAGGCCTGAAGTGGTAGTTTTCAAGGAGCGAGGTGCTGATCTTTCGCCGGGCTCCTCCGACCTGCCGCAGATGTTCTCGTGGAGCAGCCGGCGCAGCCGAGGCCGCAGTCCGGTCTGATCCGCCAGTCCAGCTGGAGCGGGCTGAGCGAGGCCTCCAGCTATGAGTCCCTTACCAGTCTGATGGTCAAGAGCAACAGCCTGAATAGCATGCGAGCTTCAGTCAACAGTGAGTCATTCTCTACTTGCCAGTGATCACTTAAATATCGGGTCTGTTGTTGCAATGCCTGGTAAATAAGTTAGAAAGTAACCAGGTACGATATTACAACATGACGAGTGAAAAGCGACAAATCAGCCGCTGTAAGCACGTCGGCGTCTGACGAAATTACCGTAGTAGATGCCTCGGACACTTTTTTAAAATCTTTTGTCTGGCAGCATTTTGGGTGAAAGGGTGACAGACAAAACACTAACCCATCTGTAAGCATTGTGGGAAAATAATGCCGTACGCAGCGGCTAACGCTAATGCTACGCAAAGCCATTTCCAGCACCATCATAGCTCTATACTTAAATTCACTGCACCGGTGAAGAAAACCATTAAAACAAAGTTTTATGTTTGTTAACTATATTGTTTTATTTATATTTTATGTTCAATTGAGAAGACAAATAGGAGAGAAGCCTGTCATTTGAGTTTGTGGTGAAATTATTTGGTGCTAAATATTTGTCCTGTTCTTTACTGCATATGATGATGGTGATTATTTAGTACATTTCACCATACATCTGCATTATTTACTATTTTTTGTTTTTTAAATTAATCAAATAAAAGGCTGCTTTCCAGTAATATATTTCCTTTTAGAAGTTTTCCTTAAAATAATGTTTAAAATATCGTCTCGTCTCGTTCTCGTCAACCCAGTACCGTGTCTCGTCTCGTGGGCTGAGTATATCGTTACACCCCTATAATCAGGTGATTTGGGGCTAAAATATGTACTTTTATTCTTAATTTTCTGATCTCGTTGCCTTTTTTTTTTTTGTTAAAATAATTATTTCGTAATTAGTATTAGGGTTTTTCTGGTTTTCTAGCAGGCTGTGTACTGTGAATATATTTAGGAAGCATTTCAGGGGGGTTTTATTCTTGGAATGTGACCTTAAGATGTACCTTCTGTCTTGGCAGAGCCTACGACGTCCAGGAGAGTCCTGGCCCCGAGCGGTGGAGCGGCAGCCCGGAAGCCGCCAGTGGCTCCGCGCGACTCCATAGGCTCCACCTTACTGCCCCCTGGTGGCCGATTTGTGCGGCGGAGTGACATCTGCTTGTCCACCTTCTACAAGGACTACGCTGAGCCGGCAGGACCGGACTGCGTCTGCCAACCTGGAGAGAGGGAGGGGAGGTGAGAGGGGTGCTCATATGAGGTTGGGGGGGGTTTGGGTTTGGGTTGTGTAGAATAACACCGCGCATCACCATGGCCCCCGGCAGCAGAGCTGCAGAACCACGAGAGGTGTCGGGCCGAAAGGCCGTGGACGAGAACTGCAACAATGTGTCGTCGCCGAGCCGCGGCCTGGCGGGGAAGCTGCAGCAACTGCTGACGCCCACGAGGAACCGCGCCTCTGTCCGACGCGCCGCCAGCGTGGACGACCGCAGGCCTGGGGGGGGCGCCGTGGCGACGCGCCGGGTGTCCGAGCAGCGGCAGTCTCGTAAAAACCAGGTGGCGGACTCGCTGCTGAAAGCCAAGGAGCGACTGTACAATGCCACCTCTGAGGTACGGCTTGGGCGGGGGGGCGTCACACCGGTGTAGCTAATTCAGCTCTGATTCATATTCAATAACGAGATGAATTAGAAACTCGCCAATGATTACTGTAGGAATCCAGTCAAAGTCTATGTTTCTTAGAATTTCTATATAAAATACAACTGTTCTTGTAGCTCAACATGTAGAGTGCTGTGCAGACGATGTGATGGTTGTGGGTTTGAATCCCAGGCAGCACACATAAATTGTAACATTTTCCTTCACTCTAAGGGTGATACACAGGGCAACTTTTAGAGCAGGTGTTGCTGACTGATGTTGCTGAGGGGGCAACAAATATCTATTTGGAAAAACTGCGATTGGCAGTGGGCAACTTTACGCCATCATCCGGATCCAGATGAGTTGCCATTTGTCTCTGGCTGGCAACTGGCCGGCAACATTTGCTCAAGAAGTTGCCCTGTGTACCATCGTCATAAGTTGTGTGGCTGAAAGCATCAGATAAATGAGTGAATTAGAATGGGTTTCCTCGTCAAAGAAGCTTCTGAGTTTTTGACTAAGATTATGCATTATACATATATAGTATGTGTATACATGTTTTACAAAATATTAAGGAGTATCTCAGTTAAGTTCCAGTAAAATCAGAAGACTGAATGTCAAAGTGAAACTGAAAGATCTTCTATTTTGCTGTCTGTTTTCACCCCAGAGTTCGCTCTCAGTGGGGAGCGACATTGACATCATAGAAACCACCAATATGACCTTTCAGCTCAGGAAGTCCTGGGATTCCACACAAGAGGGAGCAGGGCTTGAGGTTTGACCCGTTTCCTGTTGTGCTTGGTAGAGTGCAGAGGAGCCGCACCCCGATATCAACATGTTATCTGTATCTTTGTCGTCCTTTGTGTGAACCCTATGCGATGCCTTTCCAGGTACTGATGTCCAGCTGCTCACTCTGTCGAAAATGTAATTCGCTGGTCTATGATGAGGAGATCATGGCCGGTTGGACGTCTGATGACTCCAACCTCAACTCCAGTTGCCCCTTCTGCTCAGCCACCTTCCTGCCGCTGCTCAATGCAGAAATCTGCGACCTGGGGTCCGTCTGCAGGTACCTTCACCATCTGCTTGGTCTGTGTCCTGCTCCTGTGCTGAGATGGTCCATACCAGTCCTGTTCCCTTATATACTTCTCCCAAAGGGTATCGATGTGCCAGTAATTGAATGGCTGTGTCCTTGTTTTTGGGACAGGAATGTCTTGGTGGCCTTTAATGTTCCCTTAATAGTTCATGGAATACCTCAGTTCTAGCCTTCAGCATCAACATGAGAGGCAATAAAGGTGCACATGACGGATGCGGTGCAGCAACCAGCTTGTGGTTTCGCTTGCATTTTCAGCTTAGAGCGCAACAACTCTCTTAAAAATGGCTCTGAGGCAGCAACAGCGCCCCCTGGTGGACAAGATGGATTAAAGCAGCATCTCTACAATGGCGTGAGCGAGGACACCGGCTCTGAAACCAGCGCGTATTCAGAAGGCAGCACTACCACGGTACTGTAGATGTCTCATGGTGTGACCTCCTTTCTGTCATGTTGATTAATGGAGAGCTAATGTATGGATTAATGCCGGCTTCTGGGTATTTAAGACATGTTTCCTATCATTTTAACAGTCCGAACCCAGGTATCTTAAACTGAGATTCACACGCTGGTGTTCCCTGACAGCACATAATTAATTGGTTTCTTCTCTGAGCTTCTCTGGAGCACAGTGCTGCTTCATGTGTACTGTACCTGACTTGCCTGCCGCTTCTTCTCCCAGGGTTCCTCTGCAGGGGGTATACCATTGGTGACTGTGGCCTACCTAAGCCCCCTGGTACTACGCAAAGAGTTGGAGAGTCTGTTGGAGAATGAAGGGGAGGCCGTCCTGTCCCAGGGCCTGCTCCTGGACAACCACTCCATTATCTTCTGGAACCTGGTGTGGTACTTCCAGCGCTTGAGCTTGCCCAGCAACTTGCCGCAGCTTCTGCTCTCCTCACAGCTCCCTGTCCATCTCACCCAGGTGCCCCCTAGTGTTTTCTCATAGTACTGCATGTCCCTGCTTCTCCTGTGGACTTCAGAGGGTGACTGTACTTCCCTGTGTGACCCAGGCTCCCGAGAACTTGGTGGTGAGAGTGCGACTGCTGTGGGACACCCTAACCCCTGATACCGATTACTGGCCACCCCTCTATGTCCTCTGGAGAATACATAGTAAGATTTTCTCTGTCATATACCTAGAAGGTAGATGGTTGTGGAGTGTGTGAATAGATTGTGTGTTTCAGGGTGTGTAAGCAGTGCAAATTGTGTCCTAATGTGCACATGATTTTTTGTTCCAGTGCATAATTTAATGTAATCAGTGTAACTCTCTGCTTGGTTTTTGGTGAACCAGTGTATGGATTGTCTGTGGTTTTTGGTGTACAGTTTCAAGGGCACTTTTCCAGGGATCCCAGGTACCTTACTTCTGGTGCTTCAAGAAGGTACCAAAAGTTCAGTACCTCAAGGTGGTTTTCCACCGGTGTAAAATCTGGCACCAGCACTAAATGACATCACAGCACAAGGCGGGATATTTTGTACTGAATTCGAAAAATGTGTGAAGTATATTATACGGGTGGTCGATGGGCGATATTAATACCAACATTGCATGTTGTGCACTTGCAATTCTATCTTCTGCATGCCAGTGTATGGATTGTCTGTGGTTTTTGGTTTACCAGTGTATGGACTGTCTGTGGTTTTTGGTTTACCAGTGTATGGACTGTCTGTGGTTTTGGTTTACCAGTGTATGGACTGTCTGTGGTTTTTGGTGTACCAGTGTATGGATTGTGATGCTGTTGACACGCTAAGCCCCATGTGGTCCTCCTCTCCAGGCGGGGTGCCAATGCGCAGCTACAGCTGGAGGAGGCACAATCACCCCTTCACCCTGGCGTTTCTGGAGGAAATGCTGCGCTGCGTTGGCATGAATGAAGTGCACAAGGCAGTCACACTCTTCCTGGATACTGTTGCCAGGCAACCTGGAACTCCTCTAATACAGAGGTGAGAGAGAGTGTGAAAGAAACAACTTCTTCATGTTGGTGTAAAACTGTGGTTTAATCGCTTTCAAAGTGTGTCCGCTTAACCATTTGAAAACCTTTATTGAAATCACCCTCATATTTGCTACAGTCATCCAATACACCCATATATTTTTTGACCTGACCACTAGCAAACCTCATTAGGATGATCAGTACCTCAGTGACTTTTTTAACAAAATTAATTAATCAGATAAGTGAACTGGTGGTGAAATTTAACAAATATACCCTCCCGTCTCGGATAAACAGCTTTAATCGTTTTCTTTGGCTACCTGACTGTATTATAATAAATATTGTAGCATATTTGATCAGTCTTCAATAACTGTATTCTGCTGCTGTAGAGGCATGAATAAAGAGTTCTGATTGTTTCACAGACAGACGTGTGTAACTTCTGTATTCCTCCGTAGGAGTCTCTACAGAGAGATCCTGTTTCTCACTTTGGCTGCAATGGGTAAAGATGTTGGTAAGTTTATCAGTTTATCACTGAAAATAAAGGTGTCGTTTCTGTCTTTCCCTTTGACGTTTGGCCTGAACGTAACGAGGAAGACAGGCAGTGATACCTGTGAACATGGACGTTCACTTGCTGTTATATACCCATCTACGTGGTACTTAACCAGAGTCGCTCCAGTAAAATACCTTTGTAACCAGCCAGCCTGAAGATGTCTTTGGTTCCTCCAGAATGCACTGGATTCTGTGGCTTTGCAAAGCGAGCACTGCTCTGAGGCTCCAGCTCTACCAATACTTTGTCTCCAGTTCCAGAATTATGGAGTTAAATATTTCAATAACTGGTAATTTGGTCCGAAATTCAACAGAAACCAGTAATTTCGAACTGTCATGCACTACTTGTTTGTTTATTTTGTTTGACCTTGTTTGTTTATTTTGTTTGACCTTGTTTGTTTATTTTGTTTGACCTTGTTGCCACTAGGGGTCACTGCAGAGGAATGTTGAGCTGTACCGTCTCCTTTGCTCCCGCAGCCGCGTTCGATAAGAAGTACAAGGCGGCGTACGCACGACTCGGCGGCCTGCTGGGGAAGGACGAGGTGCACAGGAAGAGGGCCCAGCCCCCGAGCCCCAAAGCTGTGGACTGCAGACGCTGCTTCCTGTTACCGCTGGAGTGCTGAGATCCACCCAGGGAGGGGCCGGCACCAGGATGAATACACACACACACACACACATCCACGCTCCAGTGTGTCTGCCTGTCAGAAGCTTCATCCCAGTCTAAACTGGTGTTTTACCCACTGCGGCCTGGTCAAGCTATCGCTAGTTCTCTACTCGCTGTACCTCAGTTCTTCAGTCTGTATTCCCTGACTCGCCCCTAACTAATCACATTCACAATATTGACTTTTACTGAAGACGAGTGTGTAGTTGGTTTAGCCCGGATCATTCTTTGCCGCAGTTTTGGTTCCATACTCCCCGTGTATCCTAAACTAACCCCCTATAGCCTCGACGTCCCCTCTGGTGCCCCAGGCATCTGAAATTAATCGCTGTCGGAAAAGCACTTTGACCTGCTGTGACCTTCCGAATCTCGTCTGACTTGAAAATTAAGCTTTCACTGGAACCTTTTCTGAACTGTGCATACCTTGGAGGTGTAAACCACTCAGAACGAGAGACGCGACGCAGCGGCCCATATGGATACGTAACAGGTTTAAATGGAAAATAATGCAGTTTATTGGCACGCGTCATGTGAACCGGTAACATACCATGGCTTGGAGCTAAATGTTACCGATGAAGCTGTATGTAGTATAACGCAACCATGTTCATACAGACCCATGCAGAACGGCACTGAAGATCAAAATAGCTGTCGCTTGATGTCATTTACGAGCCTGTATCATACTTTGCAGGATATTCGCCGCCCTCTTTTGGCTGTTTATCGAGGGGCTAGGCAGTGTTTGCCGTCTCTAACTGAGCCCTTTCTTCTACTGTTATTCATTTGGAATCTGAGCTGCATCTCTCAACTGGGCCTCCTCTCTTTCGGTGATATGGCAGCGGTGCTGGGAAAGAGCTTTGAAGGCCTTCGCTGGCTTTCACGCCCCCCCCCCCCCCCCATTTCAGGAGGATCCCTTACACTTACCGTGCCCGTCTTTCCCCAAGTGCCCCGCGCCGGAGTCCGCCGATCTGGCACCCAAAGAGACACGCATCACTCTTCCCGCCCTTTGAGAAGATTGATGGGCGTACGAGATGCAGTGCTGCACGAGGTGCAGTGCTGCACGAGGTGCAGTGCTGCACGAGGTGCAGTGCTGCACGAGATGCAGTGCTGTACGTCTGCCTGTTGCCCACCCCCCCCGCGGAAGCAAGGCCGGGAAATGGACCAAGATCGATGGCTGCAATGTTTCATTTTGCCAGACGGTGGCAGCAGAAGCACTGGATGGAGGCCACAAAGGAGCCAAGGGCTTTGGATACTGGCTTTGTTTTTTTTTGCATTGAAGTCCCTGGGCCCCCACCTCCAGGTACCTGCCCTGCAAATACACATCAAACCATTTTTCAAGGTTCAAAGCTGTGTATTTTTTTTTTGCCTGTTCTGCAGGGCTTTTCTGGCCAAGGGAAAAAAAATTGTGGGAAAAAACTGTGGATACTGTATATTGAAGGAGAAGCAGAAACAGGAAGCGGGTATTGGATATGCGATCCCTCATCTTTTGTATTTTCCTGCCTTCCCGTCCTTGCTGTATACGATAGATATGTCTTTGAATGCTTGAGGTAATGTAGGGTAAGTTTTATCGTCTGAGGGGTCTTTCAAGAACATAGCCATTGCTACTGTTTTTTCCCCACAACTGTCTATATTCATTTGTCCCTGTCGCCTGGATTTTGATACAGGGCTTAATTAAATGCATTGTTTACTCTGTTTGAATCCAGGTTAATGTTTTAGTATCTCAGTGGTTTTCAGCCGTAAAGTCCTTTGCTTGACAAATGAAACTTATAATGTGGCTTTTGTTTAGCATCGATCGGGTGTCTGAAGCTTTTCTATTGCACAGTAAAAATCCCAGATTTAGAACTATACCCCCATCACAATGGGGGGGTGCAATCTGCAGTCTACTGTAACATTACTTTTAGTTAGCTGTTACATTTGGGGGAGTTGTGTCCATGTCGGATTGTGGATAACATCTAATGTTTTGTGCATTTTGAGTCCCTTGTTGATATAGATTGTAGCGTGACTAGCGTGCGGTCCACAGCACCCCAAGATGCACATTCAAATGCATAGAGTGTAGATTTTAATTCAGCAGGCCGATTTGCACAACGCGTTAACAATGGTTAAATGTACTCACAGTCGAGAAAAGTCATCAGAGTTATTGATCCACCAGCCTAATGTGAATAAATTATTATTTTTTTTTGGTCCAGCAATAATATAATTTTAAAAGCGCTCTGATTCCAGGTGGGTCTGACCTCTGGGTCTGGTTCTCTATCCTTCTTGGAACCGTAGACTGTACGTGGTTCCATATAATACTGAGGTTTTAATGGCACCTTCAGATCTATATTTGACTCTTCCTTCTTGTTCCACTGATTAGTGTTAAGTCTGCACTGATCATTTAGCTTAGAATCTTAGCCTGAGTCATGGTGGGGGGGGGAATTAAAATGATCACAATGTAATAATATGTTAAGTAAGCCTTTCTGTCAATGCTGACAAAAGCAATAGTTTTGCCATACCTTGTGCCATATGCTTCGGTAATGGGTGCACAGGACAGTAACAATATCTGATATATACTGTGCTGATTTGAATTAGTCAATGCTATTTATCAGTGGGAAAGTTACAGTTGAAACCTTATTTCGAGGGTGTACTTTTTAAAGAATAGATATGCCATGAAGTAATTGTTAGATTTCCTGGCTGTTCCCATCAGCTGGATTCTGTGGCTTTCGACACGTTTGTGTTTAGGCAGCTTACTGCTTGTGTTAACTATCGTTTGGAAAATCGGTTCAGACACGCGGGCGATGAGGCGGCCTCTTCATCCTGGTTACTCTTGGCAGATGATCAGCCCCGCCTTGTGCTTTTGCGCGGCTAAAACGGACGTGCGGCGGACCTTCGCAGAACAGAGCTGCCGTGCTGGGCGTACCGCGGTGAGAACAGTGGGTCTCGACCAAAACTAGCTTTCGGCCGGAGTGACCGGGTGGAGGGCGGGGAGGTAAAAATCAGCTTTGCGGTAGTGAAATGTCTCTTAAGAAAGACACACCAGGTTTCGACATTTATGCTGGACGAGAGTGTGTTTCATTTTCAGCCCCTGTGTATTTTAAACCAAGAATGGTCAGGAGGGAATTTCAAGTTTAAAAAAAAAATTACTTTTATTTTTTTATGGATAAATGAACAAAGAGATGAAAACGACTTTATTTAAGAGTGACTTTAATTGTGTTGCTGTTGTAATTTATATGGCTGTGATTTTTTTTGTTTCATTTTGTTTTGTTGTAACTGTCTTGTTTGTAAAAAACAAAACAACCCCGTAATCTATTTGGCTCAGTGTGTTCTGTGTCTGCTGTGTGTGTGCGCGCCATCATTTCTTAGCAGATAAGCTGCGACTATCAGAAAATTAGCAACAAAAAAAAAAAAAAAAATTGAGTATGTAACTGGCTGTCATCTGAAGTGACGTGCATTAGCTTTTTCATTTTCACATTTTACATATTTACAATTTGCAGCAGTGCAGGTGTAAGCATGTCGTGGAAGGGGACACCCCGAACCCGGCTTGTGGGGACTTGCAGGGATTCTGAGATGTGCTGCAGCCTCATAGTTAATCCTGCGGATGGACTAATAGAAATAGAGAGACTGTTTCTTTAAAGGACTGACACTTAGTACTGATCCATTATGAAAACCCTTGCAGGTTTAAGAGCTTTTCAGTTGTAACACTTGTCAATTTCATTATAGGATCTAGGAGGAGGCAGAAGCGCTACTTGTTAAACATGAGAAAATCCATGCAGTGCGGCGCAGGGCTCCATGAATCTCTCCCTCTCACTTTATCCCCAGTGTGTTTTGTTTTCTTCTTCTTGTCTTCTCCTCCTTTCCATCTCTGCTTCTCTCCATCTTTCCAGCTTCACCCCCCTTTTCATTCCCTTTCTCTCTCGGCATTCCCTGCCGGCTCTCCTACCCGCCGGATAATGGAGTCAACAGCTTGTGAAAGTGGCAGTATGAGAAGCGCGTGGGGTGCGTTGGCGAACCCGGATTAGTGTCCTGTGATCGTCGCCATGGGTAACCGCGAGGCCATTATGCAGCAAATGGGATAAGGGGCTATGGCTTTCCGGGCAACGGGCAGCCAAGGACACTTAATATAGCTGTGTGCCATATAGCGGCCTGGCCGTTTAACTCGAAAGGCCCGATAAACAACTCCATCGCTCTAGGCGCCCTGCCAACACAAACTAGGTAGAAAAAGGTCTTTTCTCTCTTAACAGCCCCTCTGCCATCTGAAGTCCTAATCATTCACTGCCCGCCATCACTTTATACATCTGCTTGCTCCGGCTAAGTTTGAGTTTTCCTCCCTGCAAAACAGCGGGTGTTTTTTGATTAAATAATAATAATAACAGCATTTTTTACATGATTAATTAATATGTACATCTCACGCTAGGCAGCTGGTCGGCTGATTGGGTGGATGATGCATACCTTTGTTGGGTTGCGAAACGGCATCTCAGAGTCATCTCACAGTCATCTCAGTCATCTCGACTGTGAGCGCGTCGATTCTCACGTAATTCTAGCAGCGTGCCTTTGCTCCCGCTCCCGCCATCTCGGACTTTTCTTGCTCTGACTGCCCGATGTTTGTCGTTCTGCCATAGCTACCCAGGAGAGATATGGAGACCTCACGCTGACCCTATGAAAACTTCTCAGCTTAAAGTCTCACTTACACAAGCTCCTTGCCCATCCTGGTGTCGTCGCAGCAATTGGTATTCAGCTGCCGCTTACTGCGTATTGAGCTGCATGCCAGTATCTGCAAAGCTCTGTAAAATGTATATGGTCTAACTTCCATACAGGAAGCATGTGAAGTACCGTCGCCAATCACAGAAGAGGAGACGAGGGCGACTTCTAATCGACCGGATGAATATGTGCCATTAAATGAAGTGCAATTAGGCGGTTCTCTTAAATTACACCATTTGTTCCAAACATTCCCGGCATTAGATGTGACTGTGAGAAATGAGTCATTTAACGGGAGGAATTTCTGATGCTGGGGTTGGCATCTAACATTAATTGCAAGAACAGTCATCAAGATGTATGTAATAAACTGGTTATTCTGCTTTGTTTGCAAAATATGTTCAGAGTACATGATCATGCTTAATCCATCCCATTTTCATGTATTACAGAGGGTGGAATGAACTTATAAAGATGGGGGTGGCCAGTGGTTCGGGAATCGCACTTGTAATCGAAAGGTTGCTGGTTCGAATCCCTGACCAACAAGGTACCGCCCCCAAGCACTGATCCCCAGGCTCTGAATTAGCTGCCCCCTGCTATGTCATGATGTCACATACTGTATGGGTTAAATGCAGCGGACACATTTTGTTGTGGTGTGTCAACAATGATCACTGATTTCTAAATTCTAAACAGAGATGTACCCTAGCAAAGTTTTCACTACAATCTTAATATTTTATATACTATTACGTATTTATTTGATGAATTATTTGATAAATTATTACATTTAAACACATTCCATGCAGACAGTTTGCACTAGATAAGTGGTGGTGAAAGATGGATGATTGAATACTCTATTATAAGCAGCTCAAACTGAGTGCACAGCACATACAACATACTCTGTGAAGGATCTTTTACATTGCAGTTCATTGTGGTATCGGTAAGAATGGACACAGCCTTTTAACTGTAACAGTCTTGCTGTTTTAAATGAGTGAATTAGTGGATTTCAAGTATTGCTGTATTTTTGTGAAACAGTGAGTACAATGGAAGTGCCTGTTTGTCAACTTTATAATTCTGGACTATATATCAACTCCAGTCTGTATCACAATCTGTGTATGATGCACTGAATCCAGTCGTAATGTTGGATTGATTAACATCTTCGGCTCTGTTGGTAAAGATGAAAATGACACGGTGGATTCTGAGTGAGCGAGCTGTATTCAAAGGGTTCTTCAAAAGATTCCTTGTTCGTGTTACCTGCATGAAACACACTGGGAAAAAAAAATAAATGGATGGTTGGACTTCACGTTTTCCAAATGCTTAGTAGGTAATCAAAGGGCTTATGAACTGACCATGTGATTGAAGGCTGCATATTCCAGTACTTCCAGAAAGACCTGTTGCTCCTTTGTATTTAATCTATATTGTTATTCCATGGTGGACTGATCTTCATGCATGTTGCTACCATGAGAAGAATCAGGTGTTACAATCCATCATTTTTGACAATTTTAAGTTTCTCAATGCACAATACATCTTGAACGCTTCTTTCTTTTCGCAAACATAATTGTATAATGGTAAGTAAGCTGTTCACCTGCAAGAAGTTGCACAAAGAAGCAAACTTTGACATGAGGTATTTAAATTTTCTATAGCATATGGTTTTTCAAGCCGATCATCTAATGTGTGAGGAAAGGTCAAACATAAAGTGCCATTGCAAAATGACGTCGGCTACATAAAAGAGGAAGGAAGGGTTTGTGTATTTTCAGCACTGAGGCATAGAAAGCTTTTCTTAGATGTGAAGGCAAGGAGGGCTGAAAAACATTCAGAGCATGCAAGAAAAATTATTGTTTGTTAAATATTTTAATATTTGTTATGGCATACAATTCTATATTTTGCATTGGACTGGCCCATTATGTCTCTGCCTTAATACTGTTAGTTTATACCTATAAATATGGTTCTAATTAAGGAAAAATGGTACATAATCTGTCAGTTTGTGTACACAGCCGACCCATCCAGATCACGGTTGGCATTTGTGAGTTACAGAACTTTTTGTGTGTTGTCTGCGGCTTTCGCTGAACCCCAAACACTCCCAAAAAAATCCCCATTTAATTTCTTACGCAGACCCTGCAATACATCGCAACCATGATGAGGAAAGAGGCAATGCAGAATTATTAAAGTATTGCTGAATGTACATGAGTAAAATGGTAAGTGATTTAACCTGCCCTGGGAAATATGGAGCAATAAAGACCAAAAATGTCCGAGTTCCAGCAGTTATGGGCTCCATGCACTAATTTATCTACAGGAGAACTGGACTGCCAATTTACAGCTCACAATTTATGGCGTGAGGTTAGTGGTATTACATCCTATTGTATCACTGCTAATTGAGACTTTATACGGTTCAGAAGATACAATTGTGATATATACTATATGAATCGGAAGCATTTGTCTGAAGTAGATCTCTGCAGTTGCATGCTGGGAATTGTTGTATTCCTTCAGTATTTTCTTACATCCGTGCTGTAAAGGTATGAAGCCCCCCGACTTCATGTGCCCCTGAATGACACGCCAGATTCTACAAATTCAGATAGAGATCAAATTCAGGGCTGCACACACAATACAGCAAGGCAAAGAATTCCGCAATATTACACCCTTATTCACAAACCACCTATGTTGTGCTCTTGATTGAAATGCTCTCCCATTAACTAGAATTGATGTTAGGGGGCAGTAAATGAGTTAATCTCAATGCTAGCATGAGGTACATAGAAAGGCATGTAAAAATACTAATTATGTGTTTACGCTAAACAGGTGACATGAAGTTAGTTTAAATGATAATGCATAAGTTCAGGAAGACCATAAGAGGTATGTGGGAAAATATATGGATCATGGTTAATTATTATTAATCACGAAAAGCAGATGGCCAGGCTCCGTGTAAACAGTTCTCAAATTACACTGCACAGGTTTCGCTCTCAGATACGCAAAATAGACCAAACTTCCTTTCTATTCACTTGTACGCTTGGAATAACCCCTGGAGAGGAAGTTAATAGGATTGTTAGGAAGATCATAAAGGGGGCTAATCTGTAGCCCTGCCAAAAAACAGACATGCTCCCGTTGCTCCATGCCCACCCAGCCCCGCTTCTGCATGCTGATATCCAGTACATAATGGATGCACTGTACCGACTTGAAACCGGCCCTAATTAGATCTATTTTGCATGGCTTTTGTGAAGGAACAGAAAAGGCACCTAATGAAAAACACCCCATTGGCCTGTGGTCCTTTTTAAGGGGCTGTCCATTGTGCGCCGGTGGTGCCCCACTGCGTATGTTAATGCTTGTTAATTGGCTGTTGTGTCGTGCTGGGCGGCACACAACTTTCCGACAACTCGCTGGCGGAGCCTCACTTTCTAGCTGCCCCGCGGAGGCGAGCTGATGGGGAGGAGCGGGCTGGCAGCCTGGGCTCTTAAATTGGCAGAGGGCACCGTGCATTAGCTCCAGATCAGAATGACTCCATTGTTCTTGTTGACCCTTTTGGTTTTAGCTGGGGATGGAAATGCTGATTGTTGACATTCTCTGCGTCCCCTGATTTTATTAATTCCTATATAAATAGCTGTGACTCGAGCTGCCTCTGGCTGAAGCGGTGAAAATGTGAATACTAGAGTGGCTTTATTTAGCTGAAAACGAATTGTACCGATTTGACTGCTCATTAAGCGGGACCAGATTTCATTAATTTCACAGGTGTCAGTTACCAGAGCTGAATGTGTGACTAAAGGATACGGCTCCGGGTCTCAGCTCCAAACCAGAGCATTTTCTCCTGGATTCCTTCAGTAAAATGCATAACGATACAAGCAAGCAACGCTGTATGTTGCTTAGCATGAATATGTCTGCAAAGAAAAATCTGGAGTCCATAATTAACACTCAAAACAACAGATACATCAAATACAAAATATCAGCAACCTTAATTTTTTGCCAAATTTTGATTCCTCTAGTTAGTGTGACAAGAACATGATAACTAAACTTCAAACAGAAAAAAGCTTTTGTTTTTTGAGCTGTCAAAAAAAAATCTAACAGGATAATTAGCTGATTGCAATTATTAACCTTTTGGACCATAACTGAAAAACAGCCATAGTGATTGTAAAGGAGAATCAATCGTGTGGTGTCTCAGTGATGGGAGTGATACAGACTATGCTATGGGTGAGAGTGTTCAGGGTCACCTGCTGGGAGAGGGATCATACTGGTTGGCTTCACTGTCCCTTGAGTACCAGCAGTGCTTTGGCCTCTCGCACCCACCAAAGGTTTCTGTCACCTTAGACTAATATACCACATCTAAGTTCGGACCCTCAATACAAATGTATCCTGTTCTGTTAGTAGCACAATAGACACTACCAACAAGAAATGGCATTAAATAGCCCATAATGCTGGTTTCCCACAATGTGTGCTTGTCCCCGGGGAGGGAAGCAATAGCGCTCACCTCTGCATCCCTCCCCCCAAATGATAGTATCTGACATGTAAGTTTAACATGAACTTAGAGGTATGACTAAAACTGCACTGTCCTTCATGTAGTTATCAGTCCATCTTCAAGGCATTTGTCTTACTGGTAGCTGGGAATGAATAACCTTCATGAAGGATAAAACACACAAGCTATTCTGTGTGTTACTAGGTTAAGTGGGAACACTTTACTTGACGGGACACAAATAATATACTATGATAATAATATTTATTTATTTAACATTTATTTAACCAGGAAGGTCCCATTGAGTTACAATAACTCTTCTTCCAGGGAGTCCTGGCCAAGAATGGAGGCTAGTTACAAGCACACAATAGACATACTACCAAATTCACTAAAGGCAATGAAACATATAACTACAAAACACAAGTCTCTCAAAAATACGAAGACAATGAACATACAACCACATACAATAAAACAATAAAAAACTATAAAACAAAGATAATAATAATAATAATAGATACTTTATTGATAGCGAAATTGTCTTTTCATCTCCCCAATCTTGCTCTCCTGAAGCGCAAGCTTGGCTGCGAAGGGCTATCACCTGTTGTGGCACCTATTACACTTTTATTTATGTATTAATTATCCACAAACTAAGTTTTAGTTACATACTGATCTCACGTTAATTCATCATCAATTACTTGTGACGCATGTTTTATCTTAATCAGTTACTGTATTTGTTACGGTGTTATTTCTGTAAACCTTTGTGAGCTACTGAAGGAACAAGTCATGAATAACGAGTGAAATGCTGATCTCATATTTGCTCTACTGAATTGTGACATTTTTATCTCAAGTAGCAACTATATATGTTCACGATTTGTACTTCAGTAGTATAACTGAGTTATTACTAAATATTTATGCCCCATCAAGTAAAATGTTTCTAGTTAAGTGATAGGTAACAATATACCGGGAAATATTTGGCTATCAAAAAACAGGAAATCTGTTCAACGGTAGAGCTCAAAAACTGGGTTTTTTATTTGGTCGTCAGTTAGCTGCTTATGGTCACAGTCAAACCGCTACACTTCCGTACCTCAGAGGGTACAGAGAAATCAATATGGAATGTGTCCTTCGGGGCCTATAGGTGTCAGAACCTAGACGACATCAGTTAAGATTAAGAAGAAACAATATAGTTGTTTGAATCAAATTCGGCCTATTGAACTGTGGACAACCGAGGGGAAAACGGGCTAAAATTAAAATACATGCCCCAGTACTGTGAGTACAGTCAGTGTAATGCACTTTGTGGATCTCCGTAGTTTTAAAGTTTGCTATTAAGCAATCCGCAAAAGGCGAGTCAGCAACCCCCGACTTTCAGTTGCCCTCTGTAAATTTGTCAATCACAGATTATGTATTGGAGAAAGTTTAAAACTATGCAAAACACAAAAAGCCTCCTAAACACACACTAAGACACGACGACTCTCGCGGACGCCGTCGGATTCCCATTCAGACACGCGGAGCCTTTATTGCAGGCGTGCGCGCGCGGCGCCGCCCTCCTCGCAGCCTGTCATTGGTTCACTGCCCGCAAACCTGCCTCCGCTCGCGGACAGTGTCGTATCAATGCCCATTCATCGATCGTGTGTTAGCGGGGACAACAATAACGCTGCATAACTAATGCTGCATAACTAATGCTCGCCGTCCCTTGCGGGGGTCCTATTGAACTGAGGCTTGGACCATTCTCAAAGTGGTTTCGGACGGGGCCAGCAGCCTATTCTGGCAATCGCTGAGCAAGAGAAATAAAACAAACGCAAAGATGCATTCTTGAATGAAATTCCTTCTGTGCATATCGAAAAGATCGTTTAGAAGACTTGTGACCATTATATGTTTTGCATTTAACCTTGTTGAATTTTTTATAGCCAAGACTTTCCGTTGGTTCAAATGTAATTTTCTAAAGGGTTTCTCCATAGACCCAGTTGTTTATAGACCTGATACTGGATTTGTTTCTCCATCATGAACACCTTTTGCATGCTGCTGGTATTTTCACTGCTGGTCTTCGATTCAAGTAAGTTGTTTTTAATTATGAAATTTATCTAAGCACAATTTTCGTTTTGAAAGAAAATGTTGGTTGAAAAGGATGGATGACACGGTACGGTACTGTCTGTTAAACTCATTTGGTTTTTATATAACTTTTTGTGCTGCATATCTTCTGCGAAATTAACTGATTCGAAAATATGTAATGTAAGGTGTTGGTGTTGAAAGTTAAAAGCGCCGTTACAGCTACGAGCGACGTTTGTGAAAATGAGCCGGGACTGATCTCTTCTTGTAATTTGCATTAATTTTCTTTTTGAAACCTAAAGGTCGAACAAAAATAAACACATGCGATGGGCGTTTAGGATGGACAGAGATCTGGTTTTGAGTGTGGAAAATGTTGGCAATGTAGAGGGAGTAAAATAAAATCAACCATATTTAGTGTCTGTCACCTGCGGTAATCAGCCTTGATTACTTTTATAACCAGTAGTTTATGTTCCAGTTTTACTCCCAAAAACAGCAAATGCTCTAAGAAAGAAATTAAATAGAAACAATTTAAATGGTAGTTTCCGTTTAATCATCTGTGGGCTAGAGAAAACAATTCAGTAATATGGTGACTTGTTAAATCCACTGGGTGGGTTGCCAGTTTTACAGAATGGGCTTTAGTAATTCATTCCATTTTATTTAGCCATTAAATTCCGTCTCTTAATTGTTAAATGCAACTCTTCTCTCGCATTGAAGAAAACAGACTATCTCAAGAGACAATCTCAAGTCCGTAGTTTAAGCCCAAGTTCGCGTAAGCGAAGCGCACAAAGGGGCTCTGAGCGCACTGCAGCGATTTCTGCGCCTCCAGGTTTATTCTGTTTTATAATGACGTAGGTACTCAGTATACTTAGTGTTATAAATAGTATTCTGCGGTTAATTCCCAAATGCCACCTCCCAGCCTTTACAATTATATATATCCTGTGTTTTGGTGCGATAAAACGAAATGATAGCGTCTTGTATAATGTGTTAGAAAGAAAATGAGACTGGGAATTAGCTAATTAACGTTTTTCAGGACGTATAACCTAATATAAAGAAGAACTTCATTTTTTATATGTGCTGCTTATTAAACTCCACATTTTGACGAAGCTTAGCCAATATCAAATTTTGTAATAAAAGTAAATAAATAAAACTGTTGCATTACCTTATATTAATTTTGATAACCATCATCGCCCACCTGCTGTGTCCTCCCTGATATCTGATTATTTAATGTGGAAAATTCGCACTTCCGTTCAACGATGTGTTATTTATTTGTTTGATTATTATATTGGTTTGTTTGTGTTAAACTCTGCATAAGGAGAAACGGGACACTGAGCGGAACATGAAACCTCCGTATTATGTAAGGTGTTCGGTAAACCAGTGTTTGTGGGCGTAAATATGTGATATGTGGTTATACATGTATGTGATTTGTATAACCAGTTATTAGGATTCTTTTGAGTTTTGTAGAAGTGAAAACATGTCTTTTCGTAGTTATCACGACACTTTTATGCCAGTTAGAGAAACGAACTCTTAAGTAATTCCTTTGTTACAGCAATTCACATGCATCACCTCTTTTTAAACTTTTCCATTTTATATATTCAAGAGGTTTATTTCTAATCGCGGCAGGATGAATATGCGCCATTTTCTCTTCCAAGGAAATTTGACTCGTGTCTGTTACAAGGATTAATTTTAAAGGTATCTCGGTATCTCAAGTCATAAGACCTAAAATTTTCATTAGGCAAATAATAAAAAAAAAATGAGTGCTGCTCATTAACACGAGGAAGCCCAAGAAACCAGACATTTAAGCAATTATTAAACTGGTAATGGACTTTATTAGTTCACATAATGAGTATAATAATATTACAAACTATTGTTTGGACCTAGTGATGCGAAAAACCACACCTGCTACAGGGAGCGGTTGCTCCAGTCCAACCATTGGAACCACCCATTTCAGGGAACTCCTTTTCCAAATCCCAGTTAGAGTCAGAAACTAAAACACAAGGGTATTGCCAGTGTCCCTAAAGCAGAGGGCAAAGTGATGAGCGTCATCTCTGGCCTGCCTGGCGTGGAGGTGGGTGCTGAGACCAAAGCAGATTAGCCTGTGAATCCCACTCCTGGACAGCAGAGTCGCTGGGGGACGGACTGGTAGACAATGAGAAAAGCCCCAACCTCACACCTTCAGTTGCACAGAGCTGGTGTTTTGTGAGGCTCCTCAGATTGAGATCTTATTAAGGAGGACAGTAATCCTCCCTCAGCCGCTCTGGACCATGTCTGCATATACGGAGTCTAGGCACATATAGGGTGATTTTAATTCAACAAGACACTGGTCTGATTCAGCGGGATAATCCACAAGTCTTAAATCAAAACAAATCAGCCCCCCCCCCCCCCCCCCCCCCCCCCCCCCCCCCCCCCCCCCCCCGCTCTCCTGCAGTGAAGCAGTGCGATGTCTCTATTTGCTATCAGTTTGTGTAAATATGCACTGAGCTCCAAAGATTAAATATCTTCATTATTTGATGTTGCTCTGATACCATGGTGTAGATGAACAGATGTGGACCAGCAGACAATATCGTCCAAAAATCTGACTTATTATAAAACCAGCCATGGACACTGGAGGAAAATTTTGGTGTAAGTTTAAAAGTTAAAAAGGGTTAATAATACCAGTATTTGTTATGCCAAAATCATTTTTCTGATTCATTACAAGAGGAATACCAGTTGATCGTCACTGTTTTTATTGCACATTTTGTAAATCGTGCAGCATGTGTTCTTGAGTGTAACTTTGATTGTCCCTAAGAAACACCAGGCTCAATTTGAATTAAAGACTGTAACAAAAACTGCACATGGTACCATGTTGGATAAATGAGAACTAGACAGGAGCCTCGATAAACCAGTGTGCTTGTAGCTAATAGTCACTCAGTAGCTTCTTAGCTGTGAGCATTTTTGGTTCATTTTGTGACTCTTCTCCTTCATTCTCAACTTGTCATGTGTTAAAAGGGAAGTACACTCACTCAGCCTTATGCTTAATTTGGAAAATGTCAAGCTGACCTAACAGGTAAATGTTAAGCGTAGTGCTTGAAGTCTGATGTTTAATGATGAGTCTAAATCCCCGATGTTCCACAGCATGTATTCCACAGACATTTTTTATTGCCTATAACGTATAATTGATAAAATAAAAAAACCCTCCTTGAATCACTGAGGAAAAGATCTACACTAACGAAAATAATTGAATGGGGTTCATGCAAATCCAGATAGCGCTGTAATTAATTAGAGTGTTTCCTTGGTCAGCCAATCACGTTTCCTGGGGCGAGGGTAAGTAATTGTGAGGCTGGGAATTCTAGTCTTTGGCTTTCATTCAGGAACGGTTTCCTGTTTACACAACTTTGAATTTAGCAGCCTCTAGTTAATGATGATCAATCTCGTAAACAATGGCGCTCGTCCTATATTAGCCTGTTTGCAACGCGCGCCTTAAAAGAGCCCACAGCGGCCCAGAAGAGAGGGAGTTTAACTCCCATTACGGACACAAAGCCTGAGGCCTTCACTGTACACTGCATGCTGTGCCGCAATTGGAATGCCTCTCCCAGGTCTCCGATGCCTTCCCTGCACGTCCCGCTTTCAGCCATTGTTTACGTCAGTCCTCCAGCCGCTTTAATGGGGATAATGGGAGGGTGGGAGTGAAAAGGGGAGGGATTCTCAGGGTGCATATGCATGTGTAATCCTCACAAAGGCCT